TACAATTTTGAGAAATAATTTTACAAATGTCAAAATTTTGTACTTTTTGAACAAAAATGACACAAATGTTCACATTTTGACAAAAGTAATTAACAAAATTAATTTTTTTAAAAATTCTCTAAATGCCCTAATTTTATGAAAAACATGCAAGAAAAGATAGCATTAAAAAAAATAGTTTTACAAATGTTTTCATCAATATTTTGTAGTTTTTGACCAGAAATTACATAAAAGGTTCACATTTTGACAGAAAGTTTTATAAAAAAAAATTCTACAAATGTCGTCTAAATATTTGTCAAATTATCAAATTGTCATTTGATAAGAAACATGCAAGAAAAGATCCAATTTTGAAAAAAAGTTTTACAAAGATATTCATCAACATTTTTTAGTTGTTGACCAAAAATTACACAAAAAGTTCATATTTTGACAAGAAATTAATAAAATAAATTTGTCCTTTGAATGCCCTAGTTTGATGAAAAAATTGCCAGAACAGATGCCATTTTGAAAAATAATTTTACAATTTACATTAAAATTTACATTTCGTTACATTTTTTAGTTTGTGACCAAAAAACAACACAAAAAGTTGAATGTTTCACAAGAAAACCTAACAAATAAATTTCTAAAAATGTTTTCTAAATGCCCTAATTTGATGACAAACATGCAGGAAAAGATACAATTTTGAAAAAGAAATTTACAAAAATTCCCATCAAATATTTTTAGTTTTTGACCAAAAATGACACGTAAAGTTCACATTTTGACAAAAGATTCAATAAAGAAAATTTCAAAAAATGTTCTTTAAATGCCATTATTTGATGAGAAACATGCAAGAAACGATAAAATGTTGTCAAAAGTTTTTGACAAAAATGACACAAAAGGATCACAAAAAAAATTTCATAAAAATGAATTTCTAAAAATGTTCTCTTAATGTCCTATTTTAATGAGAAACATGTAAGAAAAGATACAATTTTGAGAAATAATTGTGTACGATTATGTGTACGATTAACTACAAAGATGTCCATCACCATTTTTTTGTTTTTGACCGAAAATGACACAAAAAGTTCACATTTTGACAGAAAGATTCATAAAAATAAATATTTAATAACTTTTTAAATAACTTTTTAAAGAATGTTATACGAACAGAGAATGAGAATCTTACTGTGCAATACTGGTCCATGTTAAAGGTTTGTGATAGGTTTGTGCAAAATAGGAGTTTAATTTTTATTTCCAATGTTGAGCAGCTGGGAGAAAGAATATTTTCTTCATCCTCTCTGTCTTGGTTCTTGGGTGGCAGAGACACAGCCTGATGACAGAGAAGAGAAGAGTTAGCGTCCGGGGTGGCTAGGCTGTCTGAGGATCTTCAGAGCCCTAGCCTTTGATAGAATGTTTCCACACACTCACTCAGTGGCACTGTATGGGGGCGGGGGATGTTAGGACAATTCTATGGACCCCTGACTGAAAGATTTAAATATAATATCATATATCATATTAACATATACATAGGGGCCCATTGTCATATCCTATGTCCTGAATCTCAAAATTGTTTTCTCCAGGGTAGAGTAGTACTACTACATTTTACATAAACATAGTTATTAAATTATTTAGGATCTCTTAAAACCTTTCCAACCAGATCTGGACCCAAAGTCACATTTTTATCTCAAACAAAAGCTGTGATTTTTATTATTGTAACTGATTTAATTTAAAAAAAACAAGAAACTTTTTTGGAAGTCCTCCCAAATGAGTGCATAGATGTTCAGTCAGTCAGTCAGTGTTACAGCTTAACGTCTTGTGTATGAGGCTGGTTTTATTTTCACATTCTGTGGGTTAAAATGAGTTATCTGCATTAACTAATCATATGTGTGTAAGTACGCCAGCTCTAACAATCTGGACCAATTACATTTAAACATAAACATAAACCATAACTGCATGAATCGGTAATTACATTTACACGGCTTCCTGTTCGGGGTTCTGCACATGCCCTTGTTTGCGCAGAGCAGCTGGGTTTGCATGTACATGCATGTGGAGTGCATACTGAGCAGTTAGTGAGTCATTGAATTTAGCAGATCAATGGCTGTCGGTCGATGGATGGCTGAGTGCTTTGCAACGACCACCCAGGCCAAGGCAGCACTTTGCCCATTCCGTCAGGCAGCCAGGAGAGGAGGTCACGTACACAAATTTCCGCTCGTTTTCCCCTCGCTATCCATTTCTGAAGGCATTTCTCTCTAATATGTACGTGCTGCCGCACACGGCCCGCAGAAGATGATTGATTCCGCTCATGATAGAGTTCTACATGAGAGTGAAACTTTCACTACAATGTCACACTGGCTAATGAAGACAAGAGATGAGCTGCAGAGGGAGAAAGCCAAGCTTTGTAATGAATGACCGAGGCTAAGCTAACACGAGTGAAGAGAAAACAAGCGAGAACTACAGCGATAAGACACCAAATAAAAATAAAAAGACGCCTAAGAAGGACGGACTGAGACAAGTGGGCTGTGTCTGTAGCTTTAAGGGCCAGTGCACTGGTCAGAGGAGTGATGTAGAGGTTGTGACTTTGACTCTACATGTCGCTTCATTTTACAGTCAAAGGTGTGTGTGAGTGCGTGGCCATATTGTGTGGCCAGGTCATCGATGAATGGCACAAATGCAGGAGAATCTTCTGCATTGCTGTAAACACCTGAATCTTCTCATGTGTACGATTGAAAGCATGCAAGTCGCTTAAAAACTGAATGCAAAATGAGGGAATTTAAAGGAAATAAAGTCAATATATGTTAAATTTTGTACACGAGATGTTAAAACCAACATGAGCTGAAAAGTGAAATTATATATTTTCAAAAAAATTACATAAAAAACCTGAATAATTTGGGCTAAATTTATATTTTTGAATTGTATATTTCAAATCATATATTTGAGTAGTAGAGAAGTCGATTGACCCAATGAAAAGAGTTGTGTTGTGATAAAATACAACTGTGATATAATGGTGGACGCAAATACATTTCCTGGTTTCCTTTGTTTCCCCCATACTACCTGCATTCCTCTTTTCATTTCCTGTTTTATTTTGACTTATCTCTTAGATTGTATCTTGGCTACTTCTACTACCTGAGTCGTATTGAAGCACTTGTTTTATTTAAATTTTGCACGTTAATACTTATTTCAGATTATTTGCTTCCCTACTGCTCTTTTTACAGTTCTGTATCCTGCCGCTGTATTCTTTAGTGTGATATATTTTAATACATATGTTATGTATGTAGTTATATTTTCCAATATTTTGTTTATATTTCTAAATATAGTTTTAGTGTTATTCATATATTTTGTAACTCTGTTCTGTCCATGTTACCACTGTAATCTGTACATTTTTCTGATTTGGAAAAATCTCTTCTCATCTAATACTATTGCATCCCCTCTCCTCACCTCTCCTCACCTCTCCTCACCTCTCCTCTCCTCTCAATAAATACTGAATGTATATGTGTTTGTGTGTGTTGTATATGTCTGTTAGCATACCCTCATACAGCCACATGCAAAGCATGTGTTTTACATAAGAGGCAATGCAGTGTACACACACACACACACTCGTATATTTATCAGAGTTTTAGTCAGAGAACAACTCTGTCAACCCTCACACCTGTAATTCTGAGTTGAAAGATGTTCAATTTCACAGTGTTAGTGTGTGTTTGTATCTCGGTGCATTGTGTGGTTACAGTCGAGTGCACACACCGGTGTCCCTGACCTGGGACGAGTGTATTATAGAGTTATGGACGTTCCACTCCAGCACACACACTCCCGGGCTCACAGTAAGAAGACCGACTGTGTGTCAGCGGTGACAAAGCGATGTAAGGTCATGACACGACAAGGCAGAACGCTACAGCTGTGTGTTTGTGTGCATGTACACGCTTGTCACCCGCTCTAAAGCATCGGTGTACTCCATTGCTCCTGCTGACGTGCACAACAAAAACACATCAAGGTAGAGCAGCGCTCATGCACGTCTGCTTTGTGAGCATGGAAATGCTTCATCCCGGTGCAGCAAAAGCTACCAGTATAGCTGTCACTCCCTGCTGCTCTGACAGTTCACTGTATGAGCTCTTAGACAGTCGTTAGTCATGATAAACAGACCGTTGACCTGCTCAGAACTACTACTACTAGCTCTAGCTCTACTAGCTGACAAAGTACTAGTGTTCAGTAATGCAGTGTTTCCCAAACTTTTTTTTCTGGGGACCCATATTTTAAAAGTCACAAACCTTCATGACCAAAGTCAATAGACATTATTAGTAAACTCCTGGGAAACATGACGTGAAACAACCCCCTCCCCAAAAAAATCTCTTGCAACCCACCTGAGGGTCGCGACCTACTCTTTGGGAAACAATGCACTAATGGACATAAAGGCTGACAGAAAAGAGCAACATGGTGAAAGGACTCCCTTCCTGAAAAGATAAACATGTAAAGGTTCCACTCCTTACCTACCTGCAACAGGCTAATTAAATATTGAAATCTCCAACTGGCTGATCAAATATTCATTCTGGCCACAGGGCTGCGAAGCACTCCCATTATTTAGTGCACAGCTCTCCCTGGCTAACTGAGAGATCACAAGTTTTGTACCTGAGAAATCTAGTGTAATCCTTATTGAATCCCCTCTGCTCACTCATCTGTCGCTCTTCCCACTGTAGGTTAAGGGAAAAGCGTTTTCTGTTTTTTGGTCAAATATATCATTCCCATCAGTTATAAAAACGATTTTACTCTGCAGAGCTGAGTAGGTCAGGATTAGCAGGAGATACAGACAGAAGGGACGTTTATTTCATTGTACACTGGTCCCTCTCCTATCGCGGCAGTTGCGTTCAAAGACCCAACGCGAAAAGGGAAAATCCACGAAGTAGAGGCGAGATAGTTATTATATAATTCCCGTATATAGTTCGAAACTCCCCCACACTGTTCTCAACCCTCCGTAGACTGTATTACCCTTTCCCACATAAGTATATGCACATTAGAGTTGGAAAATGGAAATATAGGCCATAAATATTACGTAAATAAATTAAATCCACGACGCGGCGGATGTTAACACTCCGCTGCAGGAGGGGGAGCACGGGAGTGATGACGCAGTGCAGCCACGGCCGCAGGTGAGCGCAATTGGAGTAATCAAGCCTCTCCTCGGACCAAGGAGAGAGGAGAGTGAACGGAGGGTGTTTACTGGCCAAGACGGAAAGACCGTATATGAAAGCCGGGCACAAAGTATTGCCATGTGTGTCAGCGTCTTCGTTTGGGCTTCGTAACAGAGGTCTGAGAATAAAACATAGGGTCAACTTAACAAACAACAAACACAAGAGCACAAACTTTACAGCAACGGTGCAGAGCAAAGTGAACGAGTGACAGACGAGGGGAGCTGCTGAGAGATGCATGAGCCAAGCGTGAGGAACAGAAGAGCGTGTTCGATCTCCTCTGGGTAAACAAAGCTACCAGCGATGTCTTTTAATTTATTTTTTGCTATATTGTTACTGAAATTTAAAAAAAAGTGTTTACCGTAAAATATCGCGAGCTTGAAATAAATAAAAAAATCCGCGATGCACTAAGGGAGTGAAAGGAGAACCGCGATACTGAGAGAACACCGAATTATAATTTTACATTATGCACAAAAAGACGTTGTTTGTTGATGGTGGTCGGACTGAGATCGTCCCTGCTGCACCAAACAGATTCTGTTTGTTCCAGCTGTGAGAGGGTGGACATTTTTGACAAACACTTTTGTTTTATTATTGGGGGAAAAACAGATTCTACTTTTATACAATAAACCATTAGAAGCACCAAGATCCTGTGCCTTTGAAGGAATTTGACATGTTACAAGAACAGAGCTGTGAGTTTTCCATATGCAGCAGAAAATGACAAATGCCTCACATACTTTTTAATAAAACACTACTGCTGCTCCTCCTGCTCTGGTGCCTCTTGCACATTTTATTCATGAAAGGTGTTAAACACTGACTTCTTTAAACATCAGCGCCAAACATTTTCACTCTGCCGCTCTCTCGAGACTTATTTTTATTTATTTTTTTTTTTTTACCTCTGCATGTACTTGTTCACATTTTTATACACGACAGTCCATTTAAATTTAACTCACTGCTACCTCATTTTTATACACGACAGTCCATTTAAAGTTAACTCACTGCTACCTGACAGACAGACAGGGACTATACGTCCTTTTGCATCGCGCTCCTACTGCATGTATTAATTATGGTGTCCATGTATAATGGATTAGATCTGCAAGTTCACAGAGGAGTTCAAGCAGTCTACACCTCCTATACGAAATATTTCAGTCTAACAATAAAGTTTCTGATAGCAGGTCTTTAAGTTTAGTTCTTTAAAAAGGCTGATGTCAGAGTCCTTATCAAAACAAAAAGCCAAAAAATGAGGAAGCACTAAATAAATTAACATTCCTAAATATGACCAAAACCATTTTTTGTACACTGTAAAAAAAAAAAATAAATCTGTTATTTAATGGAATTTAACTGTTTGTTTACCAGATTTTTCTTCTTTTCTTGCAGAAGAATTGTTTTAGAAGGCAGAAATTTGACACAACACATTACAGAGTTGAAAAAAAATTATTTCATGGTGGTTCATAATTTCTTTTAACAATATTAACAATATTTTTAAAAAAAAAAGAAAATTCCATAAACACCAATAATAACAGTACTCCACAATACTAGGTCTCATTTGTATTATTACTGCAGAGATAGTTTTTTTAGAGATTAGATAAAAAACTTTTTTTTGGCATCCCAGTTGCAGGTATATTATCATTTTTTTTAGGTGTTTTTTTTTAAATTATTTTTTACAATGTATATTGCTAAAGCAGGTAGATGTTTCACACCTGTTTTAATTCATGACTAATTAAAATGTCAAGAAAATGATTCATAACTTAAAATTTTGCTTCACAGAGTTGGTGGTCATTCCCGATCATTTTGATGGTGGCTCAATGATGCTAGTGTGACGCAAGCCAGACATCCCACCTGAAAAAGGTAAGTTGAAACCTCCAGCAATGCATGCTGGGCTTTGAGATAGAAGCTGGATGGATGGATGGTGGAATTATTTCATTTTGCTCATTTGTCATAATACAAAAAAAAAAAAAATGTAATGAGATTAATTTCACAAATCATTAATGTTGTCCTAGTTTTGACTTGTGGCTGTTTTACCAGTTGAAAACATCCTTTTCCCTGTTTCACTGTGTTACTGCAGTAAAGACATGACAGAGTTTGATATGATGCAGTTGCTCTCATTATCTCTACGACAAGTTTGACAACGAGAAAACACAGCAGAACTTTGTTACTGTAGCTGACTCCCCATTGTATTACTACTGTAATACTCAGTGGTTATTTTTTTTTTTTTTTTTTTGTTCCTTGTCCGGAACTAAAACTAGATGGATTCGTATGTATAATTATTGTACTGTATGTAGAGGAGACACGGTAGTTAACAGGAGTGAGGCCTGATGGGAAAAGTGCTGTCAAAGCTGCACAGAGCTGAACCGTGGATACTAAATTATATCTGTGTCCAATTACTGCTGCATATACTGTACTTTGGGAATATTCTCATGTATTATAGTGCTATACATTTCAAGTAGAATAAACTATTGAGTGGAGCCAACTTAGCCTGAAACCAGTTTGTGTGGTGGAGATAAAGGTCTTCCATGCTCTCTGACTTTGGATTTTTCACAAAAAGTGCATTCTCTAATACATTTGATGGTTATGCACTGTTGAAAAGGATGCTTTACTTCAAATGCTTTCATTTACTGAACACTATGTACTGAACAGGCTGTTTTTTTCTTCTTTCTTTTCTCTTCTTCTCTTTCTTCCGTAAAAGTAAAATGTATTCATACATCTAACTCAACTGAGCATTTTACCATGATTTTTTTTTTTTTTTTTTTTTCAAGCGTTGACCCTGACCACGCTGTTGATTGCATTCCCACTCCAGGCAGTGCATAGTTACCATATTTATGTGACATATCCATGCTGGTGCCACTTATAATTTGGATGTGAGTGCTTTTTTTTTTCTTGGTCACACAATCTTGCACTGATTTCATCATTTTCCCTGTGATGTTGCATGCTCCGAGGGATGAACCCATTCTGAGACACGTGTGGAAAAAATCTTGTACAAAAATATGTCTTAATCTTCACCCTTTTAAAAGCCACTGAATAGTTGAAAGACTAAGTCGACGCACAGAGTATCTATTCAGCCTCTCCGTTTGGGGGTTGCACATTCTCTCCAGGTACTCACAGTTTAAAATAAGCAGGATCAGGTAAACGTTTACTCTAAATCGACCACTGCTATGAGAGTACGTGTGAATGGTTGTTTTTCTCTCTACTGGCTGAGATTGGCTCCAACTAAAGAGAAACAAATGATTGAATGTCTGCAAAGCTTCAGTTCAGTATTGGACATTTTTCTAGAGTGAGTTTCCCACAAACTGTGCAGACAGTAGGTTTGAACCTGACTAGGGCTGAGTTGAGGACCTTGGAAGTAGGCAGTGGGCCAAAAAAAGCGAGCAGCTCTGAAGGGCAGATGTTGTGTAAAGAGCCAGACCTGTTGACATCCTGAGTTTTTGTGAAAAATCACCTCCCACTGCTTTTACTGCAATCACGATAAATGCAGTGTAACTACAAAGGCAGAGCCCTTATTGCTATGTCGTACATGTACCACTACTGGGCTGCCATCCAATGGTTGAAAACCCCTGTTGTATAGTAAGTTTTGAGAAAGTCACCAGTCTTTAAACATGTTAAGAAAAGTAGAAGAAGAGTAGATAAAATAACATTTTTTAGCTAGTACCAGTACACACGGTTTATCTGTTCTGTACAATGTCTCGTTCTAGTGTTGATGAAAACCTGGATACTAGAAAGTACATATAGTACAAAAAGACACCATTGGCTTTTCTTTAAGGTAATTTGCCCAAATACACCTGAAATATTGTTCTCTTCTTAAGTGAACTAAAAGGTTTATTTCCAACCTTCACCTGTTGTGTCTTTTGTCCACCACCTGTAGACTCCAGAGGGAAGGAGGAGGATGTATAAAACTGTTGGCCGACTGATACTGTAGAACACCTACAGGCGTCTTCTCGGTGTTGAAATCGTGGCCGCCTGGTTCAGTCGGAATCTGTACTTTTCTCTGTGAAAATGTGAATTTGTTTTTTGATCTGAACATGCACATGATGACTGTGTGCTTGAAATACAGAGACATTTTGCATCTCTCCAATCTGTTTTGCCGTGCACACACACATGCTGTGTTCATGCGTGTTACTGTGGGCTGGAGGGAAAAGACCGCACTGTTAGAAGTGAGGGTTGCTGTAGAAACTAAACTAAAAGAGCTCGGAGCAGCAGTGGAACGGATCAGCTGTTGGACAAAAAAAAGCACTCACTGTTATTATTATTTTTTTTCCTGTACTAGCTATGCACTAAGTGTATTCATGGCTCAAGGCTGGTCTAATCTGCACAGAAGTACCCATGAATGGAGGTCAGCTGCCAGGAAAGTACATCCAGCAGATTCAGTTTTTAAAGTACCGGCCGTTCTTGTAAAAGCATAAATATTTTGGCATGTTTAATTCTGTAAATGAGATTATTTTGTTTTTAATACCAAAATGAACAAACACCTATGAAACTGGTCCATATCCTAACATTTAAGATTCTGGTCAGATAGCCACAGGTCTTTGTTGTCGGAATAAAGTCAACAGTTAACATTTTGTCTCTGGTCTCAGGTTGACATAAATATATGTGTGTGTATGTATATATGTGTATGTGTATATATGTATATATGCCTTGCCGTGTATATGTATATGTATGTATATATGTATATGTGTATATATATATGTTATCTAACCTTGACTCAGCATTTGGTGTTCTGAAATACATGGAACCACATTAAGAATTCTCTGGCTCAGTCAGTGTGTTGCCTGCAGCCTTAGCAACCTTGTCCTCCCTTACAATTAAGACATTTGCTCGAGGTGATGACAGACTGTAATTAATTAATCGCGGGTGAATTATGTATCATTATATTCTCGGTGTATCCAGGGAATTGCGTGACCTCTCAGACCTTCACCAGAATGCTCCCAGCCCCCGTCATCGTGGAGCAGTGTGAAGTTTCCTGCCGTGAGAATTAAAATTGCGACGGTAATTTTGTTTGAACACTGCTTGAGTAAACTCAGCGGGAGGTGCAAAGCTCCTGCATAAATCCACGGCGAACTGACAAATTGGAGCTGATGGTGACAGTTTTCTTCTCGGGGTCTTTGTGTAGTCACAACACAGAGCAGACAGCGAGGTGACAGAGTCCCGACAGTCGTGAATGGAGGAGTGTGCTAGTCAAACAACAGGAGCTGGGCGGCACTCTGGGATGCTTCGTCACGTACCTGTGTGATTGAACAGCTGCTGTATCAATTTAGAGGCCGACGCCGCGGCTATTTGTAACTCAGCCGTGCCTTTGGCGATAAATCCTCAGGCACCGATAAAGAGTTTGAAATGCGAGCACAGCCCTGAGTGTGCAGCTTCAGTCCACCATTTTGATGGATGAACTGGACCTCTGCTTCATATGTACGTGATCCATACGTATTTTCAAACAGAAATGCTCCAGGCCTCGAGCCATCAACGCTGAGGCGGCGACAGGAAGACCCAGTTTAGGGGCAGCCATACAGTACGTACACAGTGGTTTTCAAGCAGTCTGGCTTTAGAGCAGCAGAGCTCCCTGCAACATGTTCATGACAGGACTAACAAACACAGCAAAGAAGAAAGAGTCAAGGCCACTCTTCTAGAATCATACAAATAGTTTCACAAACCTTTTCTTTGACATTTCCGACTATATTGACTGTCATTTAGTAGCATCCCAGTGGGTGGCAGTTGTGCAAGTAGGAAGATGCAGGGCTGCTGTGGGAAGTGGGGGAGGGTCTGGACCAGCCCGTGTTTATTGCACTCATTGCAGGAAATCCACAAAGAGAATATTAATTTAATGTGAAAAACATTGTTAGTTCTGTTCCTGTAGAAGCAGCTACGCTAACGACATGTTTCAACTTTGACTGGCCCTTTAATATCAGACCCCTGAGGCCAACACCTACGAACCACTACAGTCAGTAAGTCAATTAACAAATCAATACACTGACCATGAACTCAGAATTCTGGAAATCCGTTTAGTGACAGCCCGCATATCACAGTCATTTTAAAACGAAGTGAACTCAAACAGAAATTTCAATTTCTGAGAGGAGGTGAATGAAATGTTTTTTTTTTCTCTCCTGCTGGCGTGGTATCGGCAGGAATCAATTTCCTCACGTACTCGTCTGGTGCTTTTTATTGACTTTAAACCTCTGCTGAAACCAGGCCGCCGAGTGCAGCCAATTATAGGGCTTTTATTTTCACGCTGCACAGGTACGACTCACACCCCCCCCCCCCCCCACGACTACTCCTGGGATTTACTCACACCCTGCCGATGCTCTCAGTCAATCATTACTCACCCTTACCTGTGTGATACTCGTCCTCTGAGCTACGTTAACACGCTTAGGTTAGATTCACACAACTGTAAATTTAAGACCTAACCCTAGTTGTTCCTTTTGACTTTCAACTCTAGTAGCATTTATATTCCCTTCCCCATTCTCCCTTTATACTTCAATACTTCTGTTCTAATCTTCCAATCTTCCATTCTCATTTGGCTCTAAACTGCACCAGTTTCGCTGTCGTGTGCTCTCCTATGGGTGTCCTCTTCCTCATATATATATATA